ATTGGTTCAGGAGGGAAGCTTGGGAGAGACCATTTTCATCGGGGGTCTCTTCTCCAAAGCCTATGACAAATGGAGGGCCTCAAGTGAGGTGGGGTCTCTCCTACTTGGCCAATGGTTCGACCTCCCTCCTAGGTCATCCCCAGAAGTCCCAGACACCACACCACGTTCTTACCTCCTCCTCCTTCTCCTCCACCTCTTCTTCTTCCTCCTCTATCCCTTCCACGGCTTTACAGTTGAGAACAGCCATGGGTGGCTTCTCCCCAAGGAAATAGGTGGCCGTGCATTCTCTGACCACCTGTAGAGGAACAAGAACATGCTGAGAGTGAAGCCATCTCCCGTCTTGTTTTCCCATGGGAAGATCTTGGATCAGCTCCTCAGGCGGCTTCAGCCAGGTGAACATTGGACAAGCTAAGCTGGTTCAGCCTCCACGGTCATCTTAGGAGACAACTGTGGGAAGGTTCAAGTGTTGGGTTCCTTCTCTGTCCAAGCTAAGACCCCAAGGTGCTTTTTCAAGAGGCCCCTGGACTTTCTTCTTTTTCCTCGAAGATGTTTCACTTCTCATCCAGGAAGCTTCCTCCGTTCAGACCTGAAAGAAAGATGCTTCGGCACTGAAGCAGCTTCTTGGATGAGAAACAAAGATCTTTGGCGGGGAACAAGGAAGTCCAGTCTTGAAAAAGCACCTTTGGGACAACCCTGACCTGGATGACTGAGAATTTCCCTAGACCTCTGGTCTAAGAGTTGACTGGTTCAATCTCTCCATGCACCTTTTGGGGGAACAGGAAGCAACTCCTGAAGGGTTCAAGTGTTGGGTCCCTTCTCCGTCCAGGGAGGTGGACCTAAGATTTCACTTGGAGAATCAAGAGGAAGAATGTCCTTCAGGACAAAGGCGGAAGGGAAAGAGGCAGTCTTAAATATGGTTTCCCTTCAACCCAGTGGAGATGGACCACCAGCTCTGCCAGGAAGGTCCTACAGAAGTCACCTTGGCTCAGTCTCCATCAACAATAGATGACCAATCCCATCATTGGCATCCATCACTCACCCCTCCTTCCTCGAAGTCGCATTGATCCAAGGAAACTTCTTCTTTTGCTGGACAAACCGTCTCCTTGATGGTGAACTCCAACTCTTGGGTGCCTTCGGAATTGGGATCCTGAAAGAAGACATGGCCAAGCAGAGGTGTTACTTTGAAGGGTCCCCCCCCCCGCACCTTCTCCCATTTGAGGCTGGGGTCTGAAGGAGTCTTGATGGAGCCGCCTGAATGGGACTGTAGAGAAGAGTCCGTGCAGGCTCCAGATGTTCTGCATTCAAGGCTCATCCCCCTCCTTGACCATAGATGGAGGCTGTTGGATCCCCCCTTTTCAGCCAACTCCACAACAGCCTCAGAACCGCTTCCCAGAAGGGATGGGTCTACTCTACGCGGAGTGAAGTCCACAATGGACCTGAAGTGGAGAGTACCTACCCATTCTGGTTGCGGAGCAGCCTCCAGGAGACGGTAGAGGGACTCTTCCTTGGCTTTGCTGTTGTAGAGGGCCACGCCCTGTTCCACGGCCTCATCATAGGTCAGCAGTTTCTGGGATGGTGCGCAGTGTCCAGAGGCTGATAGAGCCCCAACCACCAGCAAAGTCTTCCAGAAAAACCCTTCCATCGTTGGTTCTTCTGCCATGAAGGTCCACAGCCGATCTGGTTCCTGGGACCAGGAGGTCTCCTTTTATGTCCCCACCCCGAAGTCCTCTGCCTGCTGGCTGGTGGCCAGGGGTTTTCCTCCACCGAGTTCTCCAAGGTCCTCCCTTCGAAACAGGTGCTCCTTCCTTGAGAGAGCGGGCAGATAAAACCGTGACTTTGAGACTCATTTATTGTCCTCAAAGTTCCTCTGGCATCTCTCCAGACTGGGGTTCCTGAACATTTGCAATTTCCCAGTATGGCTGAGGAATTCTGGGAGTTGACGTCCAGCTGTTTTTAAGTTGCCCAGGTCTTCAGATCAGTCTAAATCATCTTAACACCACCATAGAATTTTATATAAGTCTTCTATTCCCATTCCATTCCCATTCAGAACTGAAGAAGCTTCCTGGATGAGAAGTGAAACAACTTCTCCTCCTCCTCCTCCTCCTTCCCCCACTTCTCTTTCTCCTCCTCCTCCTCCTCCTTTTTTTCTTCTTCTTGGAAAAAAACAGTCCAGTTGCCTTTTGCAAAAGCACCTTTGAAAGAACACTTATGTTAAGTTTGGGAAATAATGGAGACCAGACATCTGACCAGTGACTTCAACTCTTTAATAAATGTAAATAGAATAGAACAGAGCAAGGCTATGGGCAACAGCAACCCTTTTATAGGGTTATCTGCTACCTTGTTAACCAATGACATGTGCAATGTTCAAACTTATAACC